CTGCTCCCGCTGCTGCTGCTGCCGTTGCTGCTGTTACCGGAGCAAAAGTTACTCGTTTTACGAGGATCATCTCGACGACAAGAAAAGTTTCCCCCGGTTGCTTTCTCGAGCTCGCCTCTCAATCTTTCATCGCGGAGGAGAGAGAAGCGGCCGAGCGATCGTTTCCTCGAGGTCGCGACGTCGAGGAATCTGTAGAAACGAATCGGAACGGCGTGTGCTTCATTAATCCACGCTGGCCTCAATCTGCGTGACGCTGACCAATTTTTTTCCCCCCCGCCATCCTTTTACTCACTCTACCTTTCTCTCTCTCACTCTCTATCTATCTGTCTATCTGTCTCTCTGTCTTTCTCTCTTTCTGGTACGACTGGTTTCATCAACTGTTTAGAGCTGACGATGATGAAACCAACGGGTGGAGTGTTGAGCGGCGTTGCAAAATAATGTAAAAAGCGCGCGACCGAGAGATAATAATTGAAACATCCGGCGACACGCCAAACGGGGGGGTTGAACAGATATTTAATAACCTTCAATATCGCCTAACAGGATTATTCGAAGGGGTTTCACTGGTTACATTAATAAATCCATCGTCGGTCGAGTCGGCGGCCGCGACGTGTCGTAAGAGCCAGATTACTCTCTTTTCTTTCACTCGGCCACGATAGTTGTTTCAGTGCGTTCTCGCGGGGCACGTGTTCGTATTTTCGTATATACAGGGTGGGCTGTGCAGGAATCTTCATTTAATCGGACATTGAGCTTCGTATGAAAAAATCATTTTGCAAAACGCTTTTCACCTATCTTTTCGTGTAGATTCCTCGAGCAGAAACACCCCGTGTATACAGGTACGCAGGGTGTTTTAAACGTTTGATGCAGCAGCGTATTGAAGAGGCGAAGTGAATGAAGAAAATTCCTATGCAACCATGTCTGAAAATGACATTCTTTTCAATTTTTAATAATTGACAATGATGACAGTAATTTTCTTACGAGTCAGTAACAATACCGATCTATGAAGCATCGTTTGTTCTAGCTCTTTAATACATTTTTCCCATCTATTTGATCTTTCGAATAGGCCGTAAGAATTTCGTACCAAGCAATTGAAACACCCTGTATAAAAAGACCGCGAAAGACGAACATCTGTGGATAATCAGTAATTTTTGCGTTGGCTATAGCCAGCCATCCCGTCGATCGATTTCCTTTGTTATTTATCTTTGTTCTGTTGTTTATTTTTTAGGTTTCATAATATGCCGTCAAATTATAAGCGGTACGGCCATTACAAGTTATATCTTCTCCTCTCTCTCTCTCTCTCTCTCTCTCTCTCTCTCTCTCTCTCTCTCTCTCTCTCTGTCTTTCACGGACCACGCAGTGTCACACACGTTTTGTTGCATCCCTCACCGCTAGGTTTCTTTGGTTAGAGATCAGGCGCAGCTCGTCAGTTGATGATAAGAGCGAGTGGAGACACGTGTTCTGTGTGTAGAGAGACGAAGGGACGCATTCTGACGCGATCTTTCGTTATTAGAGAGTAATAATTGTAGGAACGGTACGAGGAAAGAAGCATGAAAGATGCGTAGGTAGCGTCGGAACTTCCTAGCCTAAGAATAACTTCAATCTCTCACGGTCTAATCTTTCATCTCGATTCTCTAGCGTTCGCGAGTGGATTCATTTATAGCGTCCCTTTATACCGGACAATTTTAACTCAACTCCGGTTGATTTTTACCCTAAAAAAAAAAAAAAACACTCGGCACTCGAATTTTCAGGAAACAATTCCTCCCTCGAATTCGAACCAACTGTTTTTTCCCCTCATTTTTCCGTCGAAAGCAAAGTTGAAGAAAAATGAAAAGAAGAAAAAGGTGCTCGAGAATTTCCAGCGTACGTTAGGTTAGGAACTGATGACGTTGCTTACGTATGTACAGCAAACGTTCGTCGAACGTATTTGCCCTACGAAAAACAAAAAAGAAAAAGGGACGGCTAACGAGAGTTTCGCGTCATTATTGACGAGAAACGACGGGAAGAACGGTTCTAGTAATTCACCGTTTACACTCTTGACGCACTCGAACGTGATCGCGTGCAATCGTGGCAACAAGAGGGTGGTCTGGAGAAATCTTCGCAAGAATAACCTCGCTTTTTATTCTCCTCCTTATCGAGGCTAACCTTGCACCGAAATAATATTCGACTCTACTCCATCCTCTTTTCCCTTCTATCCGGTATATACAACAATTCACACGGGGATAGCTCGTTAAAGCGACCATAACTGATACGTCTCGCAGACATATTCGAGTTGCTCCCTCGCGTGTCGAGCTTCCATATATATGTATATATACACATACATACACACGCAGCAGCTCGACTTTCCATATTAATCGCGCAGCAAATTCGAGGCTGTTCCAACTCGATCTCCACCCTCCTGGTGTCTCTCAACTTGCACGTGGCTCGTTTCTGTCGCATGTGCACCGATTGACGAAACGAACCGAATGAAAGAGAAAATTAGTCTAACTCCACACAAGAGAGGGAAACCTCGTTTCTCGTCTAAAACAGCATACATATGTATATATAAATGTATATACATATGTATATATAGACCACTAAACCAGTATGAAAGATAAAGATTGAATTGAAAAAAAAAGCAGATAAATAAGCGCAAGAAGATGTAGTTTGGGCGCAGAGATTCAGTAGGTCACCGATCATGTAGGCACACGTAGGCGTGAATCATGTTCATCGCTTCTTGCAACTCCCCACACTCGTTTATTAATACGAGATAATCTTAGATATGCGCGAGGACATGGCTTTATAGTATTACGCTTAGTGCATTACGCGATGCATCGGCCGGGGTGGCTCCAATTTCTTTTCTTTCTCTTCTCTCCTACATAGAAAGATATTTTCCAAATACAACCTTTTTCACAGCTTTCAAACTAGTCTCTTCTTTTTTTCTTTTTTTTTTCTTCTTTTTTCTATCTCTTTGGCAACGTCAAGTTACTTCGCCAATGGGGAACCGGTTGATTTATACATATTTTTGTTAATATTTATCGGTGTATGCACGCGCGTCTTCCGTTGCCAGGAACAGAAAAAAAAAGAAGGATCACTGTCAGATGGTACGGTTCTCTTTTTTTCTTTTTTTTTTTTCAAATGACCAAATATTCGCGCCATGGCGATCAATCTCTCTCACTCTTTTACTCTTTACCTCTCTGTCTCTCTCTCTCTCTCTCTCTCTCTTTCTGTCTCTTTCTCTCTGTCTATCCATCTGTCTATCTATCTATCTCCAGAAGTTCCATCGTTTTGTACGCATTTGGCTCGCTGGATCGACTACCATTGTTTACAGCCAAGCGAAAAATATTCCCCCTTTAGCTACGTGCAGCTTCTTGGCAACGGAAACCGTCGTCGTCCTTTCCATTGCGGAGGACACCACGGAGAAAAAAGTACGGTCCAACCTCTGTGTCCGGCTTCATTGGCAAGTAAACTCTCGCGAGAGATAGCTTCTCGCTAGGCAGTGGATATGCACTTGCAATTTTTGCAGATCGACCAGTTCTCTCTGTTTGGTACCCGACGGAACGAGGTAACGAGCATTTGCTGCCGTTTGGATATAATCCACTCGCTATATCCCCGCGAGCTCAGAACCAACAACGATAGAAACCGTATTTTCTTTCGAAGTTGTACTCGCTTGGACTGATCGTTGAAATTGCACCGCTTGTTGTTCTATCCAAACCGATAATTAGCCCGTTAACCAGTCGCAACGACAGAGGAAATCATTCCGTTCAGGAGGGTGAATAGTTTAGCCTTCCACTCTGTCTATTGTGTCTTCTACGTAGGACGTGTAAATATTTGAGAAGGGAAGCTTGGAGTACTTTGACCATCGACCAACGATCGTGTGGTCCGACAGCGTAGATACAAAATTGTACACACTAGGTGCCCAGACTGAACGATACAGCGATACTTTTTACCTATAGAATATTTCATAGAATATATCAACCGGAAGGAAAAAGAATCTCTCTCTCTCTTCCTTCGTATCGAGAGATGAGGCACCGCTAGTCTGTACAATGTTTGCGACCCTGCTTTTGAAAACACTCTGTATACTATTACTATCTGCCAAAGTAGTTCTTTTGGGTCGTCAGAGAGTGACCGCCGCGGTGCAACGCGCAGCGTAGAGAATGCATATTTGATAAGAGCATCGCCAATGAGAACCAGCCTGGCCGCATGCACTCTGTAATATAGCGCGAGAGATCACAGCACTCGCCTTTACATTCTCTTTTTTTTTTCGTTCTCCCCCTCGCCCATACGTTTCTTTTCTTTTACGTTTTCGTTTTCTTTTACTTTAACTCGCGTAACGACGCTGACACGACGATCACTAATCGGAGCAAAAAATGAACGCATGCCGGAGCAGCCACTATTCTAGCCCTCCGCCGGAAAGGGAGCTCTGCATGGACGGGGAACACAGAAGCAGGAGGGACATGCCGTCCCAGGGCCGTAAACGTGCCGCCCTCATGATACGGGATCTGCCTTCGTCTATTTCCGGTTACCAGACCTACCGCAAGGTGAGCCATTTTCTCTCTGCTTTTCTCGGTATCGAGAATTTAGACGAGCGACAGAATATACATATTCGAAGAGTTAATTAGGTATTTCGACTGGACGACCGAAGCTCGGTTACTGAAATCCGAATATATTAGGCAAGTTTTACCGCATCGATTCGCTATGCTTGTTTTCACCGCGTTTTCACGAGAACTCAACGATCGTTCGCGGAAGGGGTGTTACACCGTAAAGGGGAGATTTTGCGAGTCGTCGAACTAAAGTATTTTCGAAGAATTAATCTGTGCTTCGATAACGATTTTCATTCCGTGAAATGTTTCGCGCGGGCGTGACTCGAGCTGTGGATGACGATTCAGTTCGGAGAAGTTTCCCTTGACGGACTCTTGGAAAATAATTGATACCGGGAATACTGCGAGAATTCTACCGGGTCTGTTCGAATCAAACAAGTTTCTTAGACCTAACTGCACTCTTTCGAATAACAGAGAGACATACTTTCGTGAAAGAGTTTAAAAAAATTAATTACAATTCTTCTTCCTTCTAATATTCAGGACGTGAGCCTAACAGCTCACAATTGTACATATAATTTTTGAGGAATTTTTAAAGTGAAAATTAAACGTCCTAGATTCAACTGACAATCTATTAAAATTAATCAACAAGATTCCATTGTAACAGCCTGGTAGTGGTAGGAGAATAAACGAATTCCATCGGACTTTTTAGCACGCGTTCGCGTTATCGATTAATTCTCGCCCATGGAACACCGGACAGCTTCAGTTAAATTTCTCTAATCCCTCAGGACGATATTCATCGAGGAATGATGAGCCACAGGTCGCACAGTGCTGCACCGATGGACTCTCCTAGCTTCCGGTACCGTCGCAGGTCTCAAAGTCCCACCGGTCATCGATCTCTGTCTCCGCCGGAACATAGATCCATGCCCTATTCGGATGGCTATGTGCCACCCAGGTAAAACCTATCGCTTATCATCTTTACAATACGAAATCGAAAAGAGGGATATATCAATTCTCTGCGATCGTCTTTCTTTATACTTGCAGATTTAGTTCGAGGTCAGCGACGGCCACACCTACAGGAAGCCCGAAGAAGAGACAGTTACCTCTGATCCCGGTAGCAATGAAAGATAGGGTTGTGCTGGATCACGAGGAACGAGCGAGATTTATGAGACACCGCAGTAGACAAATGCACACGACGTATAGAAGTACGGGCACGGGAGGTGAGTGCACTTGTCTTTTGTTTTAAGGAGAGAGGGCTTGGGCGAAAAGAGGGGAGGGGGGGGATTATTAATTCGAAAGTTTTGGAATTTCCTCGCGTGATATGAGAGGAGGGAGCAACGATGAAAGTTCGCGAAAATTGACCCGGTTTTTCGAATTTTCGGGACATTGCACGAGTGTATGAAGCTGCGAGGAACTATGCAGCAGAGGCTGTGCGTAAAATTAGGCGTAATTTGGAAACGAGGTTGTCAGAACTATTTTTATTGTTCTCGAGGATATACTCGTGGCTCGTGGTGGCTCGATGAAAGTAGGAAGTAGGTACCGTATTTAAAATGGATCTACGCGTTTTTCGTATAAATTTCCGTAAGTCAGACAGGTCACTACGAAACGAATCCTCAAAGTGGGTGGTTTTTCGTATATTTCAGGTTGGGAGAAACACAACAGTGGTCTGTCGGATTCGGATCTACCTTCGATATCGAACGCTTATCAAATGCACAGAACTCGAAGTCCTGACAAAGATGTACTTGGTGATCCTGGTGACTCCGATATGGAGAGTGTAGGCTCCGTGACGAGCAGTGCCTTCAGTACGCAATCGGAACGACCACGAGTCTCCAGAGGACTAATGTGAGTATAGTTCGATGTCAATTTATTCTGTACTATATATTTATTCGAGTCGATGACCTTGCATTTTTTAAAAAGTCAGTGTACAAAGCAAAACAAGTTTCCATAGAGAAGAAAGTATCCCTTTAGAGGAGACAGCCATCCATTGTACCATTTTTACGTGACATTCGGGTGATTCGTGTTACCATCTCTCCCCTTTCCTCTGTCTCTCCCTTCTTTTTTCACCAATCTGTTCAAAAAGATCCACGACACGTCGAATGGAATGGATATTATTCGTTTGGTCGCCTTGAAAGTAATCCCTATTGCTTGCAATACGCACAATTCGCGAGAAATTTCAGTCTTGGAAACAAAAAAAATTGCACGATTCTTAACGTTTGACAAAATAGAAATCTGAGTCACTGTGTAAAGATTGTTTCCCCAAAAGTCCAGTCTTTATCGCAAACGTCTTATGGTAACCCAAGTGGTGTTAATTATCGCCTGTTTGACCAATCACTAAAACTTCTTCGCGCGCCACATTAGGATAATGGAAAACACGTTTATCCTGGACCTTATCGAACAGACTCTTTCTACCAATCTCATTATCATCCTCCGTTCGTTCGGAATAGCTTAATCCTCCTTTCTCGTTACCTTTCCGACGCAAAACGGATACAATTCTATTGTTGCTCGTCGATGGACCATGTACCACCGTGCACAGAATGGAACATTTGATGGCTTACCTTCTCATCAGCGATAATCCCTGAATTAAATGGACATTGCCGAATGAAATGACACCCCAGTAGCTGCACTATCTCATCTCTTCCCCCGCCTGCTTGTTAGGTATCCCCGACAAAAAAAAAATATCAACGATCCTTCTCGCGCTCTCTTCGAGGATTCTTACTGTTTTTTCTCTTTTAGTTGGCTAGTTACATGCACCTCCTATGCACCGTGTCAATGTCCATTTAATATCGTCCCATTCTAATGAAAAGCAGGGATTAGTGCGTGGCGTTGGTCGAACGGTGGCTAGGCGTACCTATGTACCATTGATACACGTCACAGATTACATATACATACATGCGCATGTATATGTATATATGTTTGCGTGCAAATCACTGAAGAGAAATCGTAATCGTCGCACGTCCTATACAAAAAAAAAAAACCTGCATTTTTCTTGTTATGTTCGGCGAGTGACAAATGCAAACCAAAATTGCTTATACCAAAAATGAAACCGATCCAAAAAAAAAAAAGAAAGAAAAACAGCTAAAAGCATCTAACGAACCAAAAAAAAAAAGCTAACCGGGAGAGTAACGATTAAAACGAGGCATGACGAAAAATCTAGATACCGGAAAAATTGTATAGACCAAGAAGAAGACAGAGAAAAACGCGTTCGATCGATCGCGAACGTGCGAGTAGAGTCAATTTTTTTCTTCCATTGTTCTATAATTCTTGATAAAAGATAAAAGTTTCATACATACATACAATA